AGATGGCGCCCCCCCTGGCAGCGACACCCCTGGGGGGAGGGAGGGGAAAGATGCCAATGCAGACGGCGGCCTGCCCGCGAGCATCGCCACAGCTTTACGCCATCAGCCGCAATCTTGCAATGAAACACGCAACACCCGGAGGCAGGGGCCTGAGAGTGATGGTTGCGACAAAACGTCGTCATTCACAATGATTTGCAAAAACGTGAAATCAGTCAGAACAGAGATAAGACTGCAGGAATTATTTGTGGAGTTATAACAATTAAGAATATGGGGCATGGTATTGTTAAGCGAGACTTGGAGGGATGAGACAGTGGAGCAATTTCAAACAGAACAGGGGCATGTGTTCATGGGCTCTGGAGATTGCAAGCATTCCAACGGTGTTGCTATTATCGTGCATCGCCGCTGGAGAGACCACATCCTTTCTTTCACAGCTCGTTCGGACATATTGTGTTGGGTTGGCATGAACATTCACATGCGTAATGTGCGAGTGCTTTCGGTGTATACGCCAAACGCGTGGGTGCTAGATGAGGAAGCCGAGGCGGTGTACGCTGCAATGTCGTCAATTGAAAAAGAAGCAATGTTAAGAAATCTGACTTTTACTGTTGGTGGCGATTTCACTGCTTCTGTAGGAGCAATCGGTGACCTGGTGGACAACGCGTGCATCGGAGAGCACGGGGTCGGGGTACGCAATCCCAGAGGTGACGACCTAGCTGCGTGGGTCGCCGAGGATACATTGTCGATTGCAAACACACAGTTCCCCAGCCCATCTTGCGGCAACTGGACGCATTATGATGGAAGAAGGCATCCACAAATCTATGTTTTCTGTACGGGCGCAGAGATGAGCACACACACACACACACACACGTATCGCATTCTGCAGCTATACCAGATATCGGGGTGGGGGGTTACCATCGAGGAGTACAACTAACCTTGCGACTGCCTCGGCCCGGGGGGGACCAACGAGAGCCGGCCAAGCGTACGGGCAAACGCCGCTTCAATTGACATCCCGATGCTGATGCTACGTTGAAGGAGGAGTTGAAAGCGACGTGCGAGTTGGACGAGCCCTGTGGCACCGTGCTGGCCGCAGAGCTTTGCAATCGCATTGAGTCCGCAATGTCGTCAGCTGCAGAGAAGTGCAAAGCCAACCCCGCGACCAAGAAAATGCAACGGACAGATCTGCCCTTACGGATTCGACAATTGCCGGACGAGGGGCGAGCCGCACGGAAGGGGGGCGAGGGGCACAGGCCACTCAAACGTATCTGCAAGGACTTGAAGAAAGAATTGAGAACTTGGGACCGGCAGCGCAAGCCAGAGAAGATCGACGGCACCTTGCGGGAATTTTCTGCCACTGGGAGAATGCATGGCCTTGGGAGCAATTTGAAGGAGCAGCGGCTGACTTGCGTGAAACACAGCGGGGGGGTATGAAGTCTCGGACAGATAGGGTATCGCAGACGTATTTGCTACTTGTAATGGAGATTTGAATTCCAGAAAGCACTGCCCAGGCGAAGCGGGGATTACGTCGTCACCTACAGGTGGGCAGTCGGATATTCCGCCGGTCACGGCTGAAGAGGTCGGAACGCAGATGAAGAAACTGAAAAAGGGCAAGGCGGCTGAGTCGGCCGGCATAGAGGCAGAGATATTCAAAGCTGGTGGCGACTATCTGTTGGATGTGCATGGCCGCGTCTTCACGAGTATTCTGACCGACGGGGAAGAGCCTCCGCAGACGTGGAGGCACACGTGCATCAAAGTGCTTTCAAAAAGGAGACCCCAAGTTGCCAAGCAACTATCGACCTATCGCGATTCTCTTTCGATGTTGTACAAATTGTTCAGTATGGTCTTGCATGGGCGACTGTTGGCGTACCTTACGGAACAACAATCGGTGGACCAAGCAGGGTTTCGGAAGGGATACAATTGCGACGATCACTTGTTGACACTCGTCTTGCTGCACGAGAACATGTACGAACACCACTTGAATCTCTGGGTGGCTGCAGTGGATTCCGAGAAGGCATCAGATACCGTCAGCCAAGCCTCACTGTTGGCGTCTTTGTGTGAGCAAGGCGTGTTGGACTCCTATATCCAAGCGTTGCGCAAATTGTACGAGGGGCAGACGGGGCAGATCCTGTCTGATCGTACGAGTCGTGTTTTCATAGTGGAAAGAGGAACAAAGCAAGGGGATCCGGTGAGCCCCACTCTGTTCAATGCTCTGCTGGATTCAATCATGCGTGATCTCAAAGAGAAGTCGGAGAAAAGAGACATCGGAGTGAAACTAGGGGGCAAGCGTCTCACGCACCTCTGGTTTGCGGATGACATTATGCTGGTCGGAACAAGTCGTGCGCAAATGCGGCACACGTTGGAAGACCTAACAGCGCGTGCCGGAGAAGCGGGGCTGAAGTTACATATGGGGAAAACCAAAATCCTTTCTAACGTTGTTGACCGGAGAGGGGTCCTTGCGCAATCGCACGTGCAAGTTAGAGCTGGCAGGGTTGAAGTGCTGCCAGTGGACGAAAGCGTCTCCTACCTCGGGCGCAAACTGTGCTTTCAATGATTTCATGGCGTCGAAGTACAAAGCCGCATTGCGGAGGGATGAGGGGATGGATGGGGGGGCTTCGGCAAATTCAAAGCAGTCTTGTGTAATAAGCTGTACCTTTTGCGGTCCCCGCTTTGCCTGTTCGACGCTGTGGTATCTTCGATTGTCCTCTACGGGAGCGGCACGTGGACCATGACGGCGGCAAGGGAAACCAACTTTCAGACAGAAGTGCGGAAGATGCTCCGGAAAGTCATTGCGACGCCACCGATGAGAGCTGTCTCTGCGGGCGGTGTGGACGAGCCGTACGTGGAGTGGATTGGCCGCGCGACCCGGAAAGCAGTGGGTGAGTTCGAGAAGGCGGGTTTCAAGACTTGGGTCCAATTGCAGAAGCTTCGTAATGATGCCCTGCTGCAGAAGACCGTCGGCAGCACCGATGGCAGGTGGTCGAAGGCAGCGCTGGTGTGGACCCCGGCCGGGCGCAGGGCGCCAGGCCGACCGCGGAACCGCTGGACAGAAGACATCATCACTTAAAGTGAAGACTTGGGCAACCAGCAGCCCGCGCAGGGCGCGCCCCGGCGCACGCCGGCCTCAGCCTCAGCCCCTCGGGAGGAGATGGCGACCCCCCTGGCAGCTCGGGAGCGGCCAAGAGGGGGGGTTCCAAGAGGGGGGGGGTGCAAATCATGACCGGCGGCATGTGCGCGGCCCAGCGGGGGAGCCAGGGACGTAATGAAACAAGAAGAGGCGCCATGAAATCTGGGGAAATATCATGGCCCCCGCCATGATATCCACCCCCCCCTAGTCATCACCCCCCTCTTTTCCGCCCCCGAGCAGCGGCCCCCGCCTCAGCACTGCCCGGGCTCCGCTCCTGGCTGGACCTCCAGCCGCCCTGGCAGACCTCACGACCAGGCTGCCTCGTCTCCAGGCGAGGTCGGCTCCGGGGAGGCCCGCCTCGGGACCGACGGTCGAGCCCGCTCCTCCTCCTCCTCCTCCTCCTCCTCCTCCTCCTCCTCCTCCTCCTCCTCCTCCTCCTCCTCCTCCTCCCTCCTCCCTCCTCCCTCCCCCCTCCTCCTCCTCCTCCTCCTCCTCCTCCTCCTCCTCCTCCTCCTCCCCTCCTCCTCCTCCCTCCTCCTCCTCCTCCTCCTCCTCCTCCCCCTCCTCCTCTCCCTCCTCCTCCTCCTCCTCCTCCTCCTCCTCCTCCTCCTCCTCCTCCTCCTCCTCCTCGTGCCGCCCCCGAGCGCGAGGGGTGCGGCCTGCTGGCAATGAGAGCGGGGGGCTTCCGAGAAAGCGGGCGGACCTTTCCACAGAAGCCCTCCTGGCTTCCAGGAGGCCTCCTCGAAAGTCGCCCAGCCACTCCAATGCCCTGGCCGTCTCGTCTCGCAAGCCCCTCCGCCTTCTCAGTATAGAAGCCCAGCCCACTCGCGCCATCCACTTGCGGGCGCCACCAGAGCCTCTTCCCTGAGATCCGACGCCGCGAAACAAAAAACACCATCCCGCAAAACCATAACCACAGCACTGGACCCTACCTACCTACCTACCTACCTACCTACCTACCTACCTACCTACCGGAGGAGGAGGAGGAGGAGGAGGAGGAGGAGGAGGGAAAAGAGGAGGAGGAGGAGGAGGAGGAGGAGGAGGAGGTGGAGGAGGAGGAGGATTCGATTTGCGCTGCAGGAGGACGAGGAGGAGGAGGAGGAGGAGGAGGAGGAGGAGGAGGAGGAGGAGGAGGAGGAGGAGGAGGAGGAGAAGGAGGATCGAGGCCTAGACCCTATCTTCATACGCCAATTATCGAGCCAGATCGATTTGTGATGGTCCCCAGGCCCGAATCCCGGCGGCAACGTCTGGTGCGACAAAAATTGAGACGTCCAGATCTCAGGCGGGAGAGCCCAAAATCGAATCGATAAGTCGGATCGGCGATCGAACTGAATCGGATCGGCGGAAATCGGCAGACGAGTCGGGAGAAGTCGAACCGGCGGAAATCGGCAGGCTAACAGGCCTCCGTTGAGAAATTGGAATCCAAATCAACATCCCAAGTCGAATCGAATCGGAATCGGAAGCCATCGAAATCGAATCGGAAGAATCGACACGAGCCCTGTCAGTGTAGGGGGAGGGGGGAAGGCGTCTTAGAAGGAGGCTGCTTCTCAGAAGGCGCCAGTCGTACATCTGTAGACAAGGCTCGCGCATTCTAAGAACACGAGGTGTCTCTAATAAGCCTTCCCCCCTACCCGTACCCCTCTGCGCGTGGCTATTTGGTCCTCCCCCCCCCGGTGAAACCAAACAGGTACCGATACCCTACCCTTGCTCTCCGGACCCGTCCTGGGCCTCGTTCTGACCTGGATCTCCAGGCGCATCCGGCGGTGGCGACGAGGCCTCCCAGAAGGCCCAAAGAGGGGAACACGAGGCAAGG